CCGCCCCTGCCCGAGTGGGCTGCTACCTCGCTGGGCCAGGCCGCCCACGCGCGCGGGGACAAGCCCCAGCCTTGCGCCCGCCCCCACTGTGGTCACCGCGGCTTGGAGCGCGCCGCCCCCAGATGCGTGTGGGTTTCGGCGAAGGCGGCTGAGCATCCTTCCTCCTCATCTCCTTCCCTCCGGGTCTACGCGGCGGCAGTCTCGCGGTTATGAGCCCCGAGCCGGTTCCGCCACCGCCGCTCCCATGTCTCGGCTGCGACCATGGGGAGCCTCTGGCCAAGCGAATAGAGAAGGGAGACGAGGCCTTTCGGGCGGGCGAGTACGAGATGGCCGCCGAGCTCCTACGCTCCGTGCTGGCCGGGCTGACGCAGCCCGAACGCGGCCTGTGCCTTCGGCTGGGGGACGCGATGGCCCGCGCCGGCCGGTTCCCTGAGGCCCTGGGCGCGTTCCGCGGCGCTGCGCGGCTCGGGACCCTGCGGCCCGAGGAGCTGGGGGAGCTGGCGGGCGGCCTGGTGCGCGCCCTGGGCCAAAGCGGGGTGAGACCGCTGGCAAGGAAGCCGGGCTGCGTCCCCGGGGCGCTGAGTGGGGAGCCGGCAGCTTGGGCTCCCGCCGAGCCACGTGACCTGCTCCGCTGCCCCGCGCTGCCAGCGGCTGCTCCATGAGCCAGTGACCCTGCCATGCGGGCTCACGGTGTGCAGGCGCTGCGTGGAGCCGGGGCCCGCGCGGCCGCAGGCGTGGCGCGTCAACGTGGTGCTGAGCGGCCTGCTGGAGAAGTGCTTCCCGGATGAGGGTCGTGTGTGCAGGCTGGTCGGCCAGGAACGGAGTCTGCAGCGCCAGCAGCAGCCAGAGGCCGCGCTGCTCAGGTGCCACCAGGCCCTGGATATGGGTAAGTCGCCCTCTCTGGGAGCTGGCCCGCCTTCCCGCACACCTGTCGACCGGTGGGGCTGGGAGTAGAGAGCTTTGTCACGCTCGGGGGTTATTTTGCTTTCTGAAGCTGGTAAGGTGCAGATGCTGCCGAGGTGGCTGGTGTCAGAAGCCAAGGGCACACCACCCCCCTCAGCCTCACTCCCGTGTGTATTTTCTTGGATTTCCGCAGCCTTCCTGAGCAGCCCTGTAAGGCCAAGACTGCTTATCAAGCCATCTCAGCTGCTGAGTGGTAAAACGAAGTGTTTTCACTTGTCCTACAGGAAAATGCAAATAACTACTACCCTAGAGGTGCAAAAGGAGTGCTTTGTAGTGGGGCAGGATGGCTTTGAGGTTTCAGCTAGTGAATCCAGGAAGGGACCACTTCTACTCTGGTTTTACTACTTCATTCTGTCTGGTGCTCTCTCAGGCCATTCCATGTTATAATGGCGCAATGAGCTTATTGTACTAACCTAGTACGTGTGGGATTTTTAATCTTTTTTTTTTTTTTTAAACTAAAGTCTGTGACCAACACTAGGCTCTCTCTTTGCTGCTCCCCTCCCCTCCTCCGCTCCTCCCCACTACCTGTTAGGAATATGTAATTTAAAGGAAGACCAAACTTAGGCCACTGTATTTGAGTCTGAATGAGGATGCTCTATTGACAGTTATTTTGGATGCAGAAATATGTGTGTGGAGGGTGATAATGTTTTCTGAATTCACCGGTTTTGAAACAGGGTGTATATGATTTAAATCACTAGTCAAGAAGACTTGTTTAATCTTTTGTTACCAAAAGAGTCTTGTGTGTTATAGTCAGTATGGATTTTATTTTAGACTTAGGATTAAGGTTTTCTCTTTTAGAAGGCACTCTTATATCAAAATTGGGGAATTCTTTGCTAGACCAGAGCAATTAAATTTATGTAACAAATATCTGGTAGCATTTTTGCAGTACACATCTGTACTTTAACAAGCTGTGTATTTTTGAGTTTTCAACTGTCTTATTATATATGGTGCAAAGTAGCACTGTTCATTAGAAATATTGTATAAGCCACATATGTAATTTTAAATTACCTGGTAGCCATATTTTATTTTTTAAAATTAATTTTAATTTAATTTAATGTAATTATTTTATTTATTTATTTATTTATTTAAATTTTCCTCCTCCCTTTCTTCAGAAGTGGTGAGGTCAGTGGATAATAGGTACTTTAGAGGTTGGGTGTTTTGCATTTATTTTATTTAGTATGATCTGTTTTATTTATTTTATTTAGTATGATTATTTCAAGGTCCATCCATGTTTTTGCAAATGGCAGTATTTAATCTCTTCTTATGGCTGAGTAATATTCCATTGTATATATGTACCACAGCTTCTTTAGCCAATCATCTATCATAGGACATAGTAGCCACATTTTAAAAAGGTGAAAAGCAGGTGAGGAATCTTTTGAATCCTATTTATCCAAAACATTATTTCAACATATCTTCAATGTAAAACATATCCATATTTTACTTTTTTTTTTTTTAAATGAAATCTTTGAAATCCATCGTGGTTTTACATTTACTGCCCACCCCAATTCAGGCACTAAATTTTCATCAGAAGTACTTCCTCTCTATTAAGATTTCACAAAATTTAGAGTTGAAAAAAGTAGACTCACATATTGAAGTTGTTCGCAATTAACTTAAAAGCTTTCCTCTAATTGAATAGAGAATCACAGAGAAAAAGAATAAGCAAAATAGAACCTAAGAGATATGTAGGACACAGACAAAAGATCTCAAATCTATGAAATTTGAATCCTGGAAGAGGGAGAAGGGGCAAGAAACATATTTGAAGAAAAAATGACTGAGAATTTTCCAAATTGGTAGAGAAACTTTAATTCACTGAATCAAGAAGCTCAGTAAGCCCAACAGGATAAACACAAATACTCACCCAATGGACAAAACATATCTAAGTTATAGTTAGGTTACTGAAAATCAAAGATAGAGAGACATTTAAAAGCAGTCATAAAAGACAGGACATTTTCCTTCAAAGGAGCCATAATAAGACTGACAGCAGACTTTACAACAAAATAATTAAAACTGGAAGATAATGGAATAATATCTTTAAGATGCTGAAAGGGTGGGTGGGGGGGATAGCCTACCTGGAATTCTTTGCTTGGCTGAAAATATCTTTCAGAAATGAAGACAAAAACCAATATGCTTTAATCCAAAGAAATAAATAAGTAAAGCTTAAGGCTTTTTATCGCCACTAGAATCGACACAAAGTAGTAAGAGGAA